AAACTGCCAGCATAAAAAATAAATAAAGAAAAATCTGCCACATGGCAATTATGCTGCTAATTAAAAGGCGAAACACTCTTAATGGATTCGTCTCTCAGGAGGATTGTTCCTCTCCACAAAAATGCTCTGCCCTTTCTCCAGCTTTCCATCTTCCTCTCTAACGCACTCTTTCTCTAAGAGTTCTTGATATGCTAAGAGTCAAGATTCACCTGGTTTCCTGGTGGTTGTGGTCTCTGCTGGGATACAGAGGCTAAGAGGGACAGCTGGATGGGTTTAGAGAAGTTGAAAGGGTCCTTGCTCTTGACTAAGACGTCTGTTTCAACAGCCAAAGCTCTTCATTTATTTATACTTTGAGTGCTTCAAACCACCAAATCTTCTCAAAGTACGTGTGGATGCACAGACACAAACGACATGAACAAAAACAGAAAGGAACAAGCACCTACAAATAGCCGAGGACAAAAGGGGAAGAGTCACCTAAATCTGACACATCTGTACGTACGTGCGCCTGCAGAGAGCAAACGCCAGTCAGACGTTCAGTATGCAGGCATGCACAGACAAATACACACACCTGCACAGTTGCCCATCTGTTTTCTTTGGGGGATAACACAGTTTTCATTAAAGCAAATACGCATCTTCAAAAGCTGCATTGAAGCATAGAAAAGTGACTTTCCAGAGCAGTTTATTCGTTATTCTGATGATTATGCAATTAGGTCAGTACAGGTAAAAATGCTACTTTGTGATAGACGTGGGTCTCTAATATTAAAGATCTGAGGGCACCTTAAACAAAATATCAGACATGCTTGGCTCTTTGAGGCGCAGCTCATGTCTGACGATGAGGGGGAGAACTCTGCTCAAACCTAAACGCTAATGTTTCTACCAATAAAAATAAATCACTGAAATAATATGGGAGATAGATATTTTCAAATTGAGATAATTTCACGTGATATAAGATGGGACTATATCGTCTATATCAATATTTCTACAGTGAGTTAGAATTATACTTGAAAATATGGTAGTTCTTTTTCTCCTCGTCTGTGCCGCCAACTTCACGCGACCCCTCCTCCCTCACTGAATACAAATCCAGCCCGTCACCTGCACACGCTCCCCCCACTTCCTGCTTCTCCAGGTGGGCGGGAGTTTAGCACAACAAGTAAAGACGGGAGAGGATCAACTTGGCTCGTGAGCAAAAAGGAAAACAATGGCTGATATTTGGAGATGGTTTGAATTTAAATTGTCAGATGAGCAGCAGAAAAATGTTTTCTGTAGACAATGCCAAAAACCAGTCCCGACAAAAGGTCGGCACTACGAATCTTTTTCACCACTTAAAACAGCGCTATAAGTGGAGTATGAAGCATGTGTGAAGCTGCAGCTCCGACTGACTTCAGCCTCCATCCCTGAGACAAAAACCCATTTAGCCGTGCTGTACCTGATGAGAGGAACAGTGAGAGGTAACACAACATTAAGAAAGCAACGGCTTGTATCACTAAAACCACAGTCCCAGTCCCAACTGTGGAACAAGACTGCTAAAGACAACGGGGCTAACAAACATCGTGAAGGCTGCACAGCTGAAGAGGATTATTATTTAATCTATGTAATTTTTTTTTTTTTTACACATTTAGTAGCCATTTGTTAATAAATGTGCCTTTGTGACAATTGGGACAAAGCTATGACTCAAATATATTACTATTTTATAGGGAGGAAAAAAAAGGATATATTTTGTATATTGCCATTCATCTTAAAATATGGAGATGTTAATTCTGGTTAAGCCTGTTTTTTTTTTTTTGTTTTTACAGCAGGTATAGCATTAATAAGCACAAGCTAGTTTTAAATGGGTATATAAAGTAAAATACTTCAATTAAATTACTTAATCTGTAAACAGCATCTAGAACTGTGAGAGAAATATTATCACCAAGCTGACAACAGAATTTATTATGAGCAGTGTCAAGGCCCAAAGTCTGTGTTGTAGGTGACTCATTCCATAAAATTTCGTGCTACTATCTAAAAAATCCAATCTGGTCCTCTGGACATTCAAAAAAACAAAACAAAGCAAAAAAAAAAAATCTAGATACATTTTGTCTTTCATCCGAGAGACTTCCTCAGTCTGAGGTGCTGTATTTAGCTCAGTCTCTTAAATAGCACCCTCTCAGAGTGGATCAACGTGCTACTACTTTTTGCCAACGTTATCGTTTTTTTAATAAAACAGAGTTAGAGAGTGTGTTCGAGACAACCCATGTTATCTGAACAGAAATCTGCTACATCTGAAGACAGTCCCCTCTTAGCCAACTGTGTTCTTAGATAGGAGTGAGGAAAACAGATGTTAGATGCTGAACACAGAAACAAACTACGTTTCCGAGAGAACTCAATGTGACAATCCCGTCTCGTCGTAAACATCATAGTTGTTCAGTGTTTAACAACAAATGTGTACATATTGCAAACACAGGTGCAGTGAGTCTCTGCCTAAGTGACGGCATGAGATAAGAAAAAAATCAAACAGCACCCCCCTAAAGAGCGGTACAGTGAGTATTTAAGTGAAATATGAGGCCTGAATAATTGAAAGCATGTTTCTATGTCAAGATGAAGAGTTGAGAGTAAATTATGGGAACTTGGCAGTTGGTACGAGAGAGAAGGAAGGCAAAATATTTGATCCTACAAACCGGATTCCAAAAAAGTTGGGACACTAAAATTGTGAATAAAAACGGAATGCAATGATGTGGAGATGGCAAATGTCAATATTTTATTCGTAATATAACATAGATGACAGATCAAAAGTTTAATCTGAGTAAATGTAACATTTTAAAGGAAAAATATGTTGATTCAAAATTTCACAGTGTCAACAAATCCCCAAAAAGTTGGGACAAGTAGCAATAAGTGGCTGGAAAAAGGAAATTGAGCATATAACGAATAGCTGGAAGACCAATTAACACTAATTAGGTCAATTGACAACATGATTGGGTATAAAAAGAGCTTCTCAGAGTGTCGGTGTCTCTCAGAAGCCAAGATGGTAAGAGGATCACCAATCCCACCATTGTTGCGCAGAAAGAAAGTGCAGCAATACCAGAATGGTCCAGCGTAAAAAAGCAAAGACTTTTAAGTTATCATCATCAACCGTGCATAACATCATCAAAAGATTCAGAGAATCTGGAACAATCGCTGTGAGTAAGGGTCAAGGCCGTAAAACTCTACTGGATGCTCGTGATCTCCGGGTCCTTAAACGTCACTGCACCTCAAACAGGAATGCCACTGTCAAGGAAATAACAGAATGGGCTCAGGAATACTTCCAGAAAGCATCGTCAGTGAACACAATCCACCGTGCCATCCGCCGTTGCCAGCTGAAACTCTACAGTGCAAAGAGGAAGCCATTTCTAAGCAAGCTCAGACGTTTGCACTGGGCCAGGGGTCATTTAAAATGGAGTGTGGCAAAATGGAAAACTGTTCTGTGGTCAGATGAGTCACGATTTGAAGTTCTTTATGGAACACTGGGACGCCATGTCATCCGGACCAGAGAGGACAAGGATAGCCCAAGTTGTTATAAACGCTCCGTTCAGAAGCCTGCATCACTGATGGTATGGGGTTGCATGAGCGCTTGTGGCATGGGCAGCTTGCATGTCTGGAAAGGCACCATTAATGCAGAGAACTATGTTCAGGTTCTAGAACAACATATGCTCCCATCTAGACGTCATCTCTTTCAGGGAAGACCCTGCATTTTTCAACACGATAATGCCAGACCACATTCTGCAGCAATCACAACATCATGGCTACGTAGGAGAAGGATCCGGGTACTGAAATGGCCAGCCTGCAGTCCAGATCTTTCACCTATAGAGAACATTTGGCGCATCAAAGAGGAAGGTGCGACAAAGAAGGCCCAAGACGATTGAACAGTTAGAGGCCTGTATTAGACATGAATGGGAGAGCATTCCTATTTCTAAACTTGTGAAACTGGTCTCCTCTGTCCCCAGACGTCTGTTGAATGTTGTAAGAAGAAGGGGGAATGCCACACAGTGGTAAAAATGGACTTGTCCCAACTTTTTTGGGATTTGTTGACGCCATGAAATTTGGAAACAACAGATTTTTCCCTTAAATTGATACATTCTCTCAGTTTAAACTTTTGATCTGTGATTTGTGTTCTATTCTGAATAAAATATTAGATGTTGGCACCTCCACATCATTGCATTCAGTTTTTATTCACAATTTGTTTAGTGTCCCAACTTTTTTGGAATCCGGTTTATAGAATAAAGATTAGTAACTTTACACTTATTTTATTGATAAATCAGAAAACAACTCGTTTGTTAATGTCTTGATTGTATGTCTATATGGACGAATAAAACTAAATAAATTCCATGCATGTAATGTTTTAAGTTTTGCTATATTGGCTTAGACAATGTGCACCCAATAAATGAAACTGGAAGCAATCTAAAGTTTCAAAGCCAAACGACGAGCTCAAACAAACTTCGGAGTCAAACACGTCTTGGTTAAACAATGAGCTGTCCAGAATTGTTGTCAGTGCATTAATAAAAACAAGTGTATCATCGTTCAAATCTTCGTTGTGCTGCGTTTCTGCTAATGTCCAAATTAATTTTGGGAACCCCATAAATATTAATGCAGCCCTATAAATGTTTATAGATATATATATATAAAAAAAAAGAACTAACAGGCAGATTCCTTATGAAAATCTGTTTAAAACCAATGTGGTTGACATTTTTGTACACAATGGATGCCCTGCCTACCTAGGTAGATGTGTAAGTAAAAAGTTCTCTTAAAATCTCAGAATTTATTTAGTACCTCAACTTTTTTACTTTAATCATCTTTCATAAATACAGATGCTTGGATGCACCAACCTAGATTTTCTTTTCCTGTTTGCTGAGACCCACATAATTCCAGTCTATAGGCCTTTAGGTTGGGGAGTGGGCTGAAAATGTCCCACTGTAACAGTAAACTGGGGCTGATGGCATAAAGCTGTGATTTACATCACTCCTCAGGGACAGAGGCTCATTATGACTTACTTGGTCAGCAATGGAGCGGCCCTGTTTGTCCATTCTGGATCCTGCCTCTGCAATTTTCTTGGCAGCGCTGATGACATCAGATGTATTCTTCAGTGGTCCTTTCCCCCTGAACAGAAAAAAAAAGGAAATCAGTCCCAGATTTACCTCCACTGCAGACTCAAGTTTCATACAGGAGGAAATATGCAGAGTCCAGTTCTGTTAGATGGTTGGTTTTGGTCAGCAGCAGACGAGAACTACAGGAAGAGTTGAGGTACGTGATATTGAAGTAAAGCGTGTGGTGGTGCAAAGATGATTCCATTTACTAACCTCCAACGCAATCTGGTGTCGATGAGCAATCAGACGTAATGTTTTAAGATCAAATAAATGTAAAAACAGTGGACACAGTTTATCAAAGTAAGACGCATTTTCAAAAATATATCAGCAACTTAAGAGTTGAAATTTACTACAAATAAATCAAAGTAAAACAAAACAAAGATGAATTTAATTTTCTGGAAATTGACTCCATGTCCCACGTCCCTCGTTGTTGACCCTTTTGAGCCAAACAAAGTCCAGTCCCACACAGGTCAGTCCAGCCCTGACCTGACACTGTTAAGCTTGTCAGCTTTTTGCCATTTTTCAACCCCCCCAGGGGACTCTGGGACACAGTTGGCAAGAGACAGAAATTGGATTCAAAGCTGCTCTCTCCAGGCTAAAAAAAAAGAGCCATCCAACCCAGAACAGATGGAATTTTGTGTTCTGTTCTCTCACTTCCCCATTCCTCCCCTCCCATCTCCAACACTTTCCTTCTCCTGCGCTCCCTCTGCTGCTCTGATGTACAACAAGCCAGGGTCCTAGTGGAAAAGGCCATGCATCAGAGCACATACTGGAAGTTCTCCTGGGACCAAGTCAACCTCAGGAGACAGAGCTGGAGGCACTTCTGGGGATGGAGTAAAAACAGCATACAAGCAAAAAGGCAGCTGATAGCATTCTGCTGCGGTTTGTTCACAACAAATACAGCAGCAACCGATTTGTACCTAACCTACCTTGTTTTATACAAGATGTTTTTAAGGGGACTTTCTAACTCTGCTAGGAAACTTAAACAGCCTATAAAGATACAACAAAGAAACTTCAGAAGAAATTATCTTATTGGAGTTGGGTATGGAGAAGGGACTAAATATTTTAGTCTCTACAACAGCTGCAGGCCCCCAGATGTGCACGAGCCAAACACTTCACAGCACAAAACTGTGACAGGTGGCTCCCAAATATGTTGGATGTTTCCAAGCCATAAATGGCTTTATTCATGAGAGCTGCCATGCGGCCATGACAGATGCAGGACTTGACATGAAATTCTCAGACTTTCTGCAGCTTTGTCAGAAGGGGTCAATTATCTAATCCAACATTAACCTCGGCAGAGCTTCATTCTATACCAAGGTTCAAAGGAGCTTAATATGAGGCCAGGTTGAATTTAGCAGCCACTGACCTTCCATGTGCCACCACATGAGTGAAGCTGTAACGTGTGGGATGATATGTTGGCTGATGCACAGTTTCTCAAACACGTTGTGTAATATACAGTGGCAGTAGACAGAAGCAGTTCAAACGTATTTTGCTGAAGGTGATAGTCTCAAAATTATTACCTCGTCACATTGTTGTAAAGTCTTAACATTTTATAATCAATAAAAAAACAATGCCCATTCTTGCTGGAAATCAAAAAGGCTTCAAGAGTCTTGTCAGATTAAAGAAGAGCACAATGCTCATCACTGAAACATAACCCATTGATCTACAAATCAGCATTTAACTAATTCTTTATTAGTAAGTATTGTGCAAGTTGTTATGGTATTGCTTATGAAATATTGAAGATGTAATATGGGACTTAAAATATATTCACAATTATTTACACTTTTTGAATCAGAGGCCCTTTGTTTTTGATTGATGACTAATTTTATTCACTTCTAAAATATCAGTACTTAATCTAAAGTGACAAACTTGTAAAAGTAATAAATGTAAAAATGTATAGAAATTAGCTTCATACCCACATTCACAAATCAAACCATTATTCTGTTTCTATGAGTCATATTTCCCCTTTTTGAACTCCTTGCTTTGCTTTAAAGTGTAAAACTGTGGGAGAGGCAGCATTTATAAAATACAAAAATGTCACAGCAATCAATAACGTCGTACCTTTATCCGTCCAGCCATTCATCCATTATACAGCGAAGGAGGAGGCAATATTTTTCCATACCTCTTTTTGAAGAATAAAGAGCACATAAAACCTGCTGGGTGCTGCACAACTATTCAGGTGTGAGCCTGTTAGCATTTCAAACTTTTTCACATTTTAAATCTTTACTCAGTAAAACTAGCTTTTTCATGTAGAGGATGAAAAACAAAACAATTTATTATTACAGGTGTGGCTGTTGTGCAAAAAAAAAAAAGATTTTAAATTTACAAAGCCAGCTCATGCAAAAAAAAATAAAAGATAAGAAACCGGAGCAAACGTCCCCTTGCATACACAGTGAAAGATGGAAAATGAAGAAACATCATCATCCAAGATCCAAAACAACTAATCCTTTTATTTTACATCTGTTCAGTGAACCGTCACATGAAGACTCCGTGTTTGTGTATCCAGTTTATTACGTTCTATCAACTGAAAGCTACCCTGAAACTACAATAACAAACATTAAAAAGCCAGACCAGCTCTATAAGACCACTGTTTGGACAGAAATAACAAAATAAACCTGCACAAAAATGACAGAAGGAAAGTAGAGGCAAAAATCTTCCCAAGTGTCAGAATCTATAAAATCACATGGAGACCACGTGATGACAGACATGTATGACTCCCTAAGAAAACGGGTAACTAGTGCAGACTGTCATTGTAATACGAGCAGCTGGATGAAGTCTGTAGTGTACAGTCACACACTGCCAGCTCAGATTCTGCAAAATGCAGCGAAGCAGATTTAAACTCTTCACAGTACAGATGGAAACTGACCCAAGACAGACAGAAAAAATGCTGGATTTTTTTTTTTAAACAAAGTTTAATGTTTGTGACACCTATCCTCAACCAAAATCTGCTGCAATTCTCACAATGAAGACAGGAGAAATGGCAAACGTCCTACATACAACAGCCACAAAAACCTACTTAAATCAAAAATAAAACGGTTTTAGGCGAGGCCCGTTGGCTCCAATGTTTAGGCTGTAACTGGAAAGAGCTTTCAATAAAAGTTTTAAAGTATGTATTCAAATCCCAAACCTAAAAATTGAGTACTTATCAAATGAATAATTATCCAATTAGGAAGATCTAACCCCAACATCTGCTTCATATATAGCCTCAATAATCCACTTATGAGTGTGAATTTGGCCTTTAGCAGCTCTGCTGAGGAAGGCTGTCCATTTAATTTCTTTCCAATGCAGAACGGCTTATTTATGCAGCAGGGGAGAAGGAAATATGATGCTCTGCTTATGGTTCTGCATATCAAGATTAAAGAAGGATAGAAACATAATCAAGTGGAAATCCCACCTATCCTGCTGCTTAAGTCAAATGAAGAGCTCTGCTGCACGATTATTAGTCTTAACCTTCATGTGAACTATTGTTCAAATATGGATGGATGTTTGTTCAACATAAGCTTACAGAGTGACGGCCAAGACGTTTTCATAGAAATATTTTGTAAACAGAAAAAAGTAACTATTAACAGAGGAAACTGTAGAATGACTCCTGCACAGTAATATTCATTGTTGGGACCAACTTATTTTGCATGCAGACAGGCAGGTTAACGTATTACTAAGTGATTAAAGAGTAGTCTGAGAAATTCAAAGCAACATCTGTCAAATTTATTCAAAACTTCTGTTCGTATGTCATGCTGTCTCACCTGGTGAAGTCTGTCATCTCCATCATGATCATGCACATCTGCTTAGCCAACACAATGATGTCATTGCCGCTGTCATCCCACTTAGAAACCTCCGCATCCAGCTTGCTCTTTTCTTCCTGGAAGCTGGCAACCTGCTCTGCAATCTTTGCTTTCTGCTCTTGCGGCAACTGAGCCATGATAGCCTGTAGACAAAATTATGGGAAAAGTGCAGAGGGCTACTGAGCAGGACCTTGACATACTGTTGCAAAGCACACAACAAATGCAAAGTTTTCTTGGCAGGCGAGGCCACAGCATTGATGGGATCCCAGCAGAGGATACAGATTTATAATGTTGTACTACACTTCTGTGCAATTTGATTCATACTTTATAATAAAATGCACAAAAAGAATGTTGGAATTAGTCTAAAAATTAAACGTGTTAATTTACATTCAATATATGAATGAGAAATGGCTCTAAAACAGCCACTTTTTTCCCTGATTTGCAGATTGTCTTCTTTAAATTCAAAACATCTTCATAAAAGTGTTTGGAGCCATGTCATGAAAAAGATGCATATGCTCCACTCTGTACCACTAAAAATAATTATACAGATATTTGTTTAGCAGGATTTGGCAACAAGTGTAACAACATCCCAATACATCGTCTTAAACTGAACAGTTAAAGAGCCGTGTCCAAACAGGTAATCAGACATTCAGTGAATTAAGTTGTCAAGTTGAGGTAAGCAGACACTTAAGAGCAGGAAATCGAATATCATCACTACAGCGTTCATTCCGTCACTGGTAAATTGTCTGTCCTGTGGGAGCCACACAAGCTTAAATAAAGCTGTTTAAAAGATGAAAAGGCTTGTTTAAATAAAAAGAAAGATACTCTTTGGTGATTAAAACAATACTTTGGAACGTGCTGATGAGCTGTACAGCCACGAGGGATTTTTAATTTCTTACTTCCATTGAAATATACAGATTTATCATTAATCTCCTTATAAAGAACTTATCATTGATGTGATTGATCCGATCATAGAATACTTTGAGTACTAGGTCGCAACAACAGAAACAAAGGGGTCTGTAAACGTGGAGAGATTTTTGAAAATACTTTGGTCACATCAGCGATTATGATGCCAAACCAACTGTGCACAACCCGTCAACAGTACGTATGGGGGGCGGAGAGTTCGAACCAAACAACAGGCATCAACATAAAACTGGTTCAAAATACCACAAATCTGAATTTTTACTAATTATCAAAAAAGAGGAAAATCCCTACAAGATTCTTTATCTCAAGAAATATACATTTGTTTCAATTTTGACAAAAAACGCTTGTGAATATACTCGCATTTAGGTAAATACTTAATATTTAAATCCTCTGTTCTGAGGAGCACTCAAAGTCATTTTTAACACTAGAATAAACGTATAGCTTAATGTGTATGCTTTATATTAACTGTGCATCTGGGAAGTATTCACAGGACTTCAATTTATCCACATTTTGTTGTTACAGCTTTATTCCAAATTGTATTTAATTTCTTCCCTCAAAATTCTACACACAACACCCCATGATGACAATGTGAAAAAATTTGATATTTTTGCAAATTTATTAAAATAGAAAACTAAGAATCATATTTATGTAAGTAATCACAGCCTTTACTTAATACTTTGCTAATCCACCTTTGGCAGCAATTACAACTTCCAGTCTTTTTGAATAGAATGCTAAAAGCTGAGCACACCTGCCTTTGGACCGTTTAACCCATTTTTATTTGAAGTACATCTCAAGCTTCATCAGGTTGGATGGGGGACGTCTGTGCAGCCATTTTCAGATATCTCCAGAGATGTTTAATCAGATTCAAGTGTGGACTCTGGTTTGACCACTGCAGGACCTTCAGAGTGGTCCTGAAGCCTCTCCTTTGAGGTCTTGGCCATGTGCTTTGGGTTGTTGGCCTGCTGAAAAATGAACCCAGTATTTTCCCTACCATTATTCAAAGAGGGTGCCCCGCCCTGTCAACAAAACAGAGCACCCACCAACCAAATCAAAGTCCAATCAACTGAATTTACCACAGGTGGACTCCACTTAAGTTGTAGAAACATATTGAGGGTGATCAGTAGAAACAGGATGCATCTGAGCTCAATTTGGAGTGTCAAGGCAAAGACTGAATACTTATGCAACTCTGATTTGCTGGTATTAAAAAGGCCAAGGCCACACATGCACAGAGGATCGAGGGTCAATTAATCTCACAAGACCCTCGGAGCATGTGGAGGGGCATTAAGTGCATAACAGATTATAAAGGAAGGAGCGAACAATGCCCCAAAGACCCATCTCTGCCCGATGCCCTCAACAAGTTCTATGCACGCTTTAAAGACCCAAACAGACCACCCAGCACCAGACTCACCTCACCACCAGATGAAGAGCATCTCAGCGTGACCTCAGCAGCAGTAAGGAGTACCTTCAGGAGGATTAATCCGCACAAGGCAACCAGCCCAGACAACATCCCCAGAACAGTGTTGAAAGAATGTGCCGATCAGCTCTGCGAGGTGCTGGCAGACATCTTTAACACCTCACTTACCCTGGAGACAGTACCCACCTGCCTGAAGACTGCCACCATCATCCCAGTCCCAAAAAGCTCTACAGTGACTGGTCTGAATGACTATCGGCCAGTGGCCCTCACCCCGATAGTCGCTAAATGCTTCGAAAAACTTGTCATGACTCACATCAAAACAAACATCAACGAGGACCCTCATCAGTATGCATACCGTGAGAACCGATCAACAGAGGACGCCATCTCCTCTGTGGTCCACACTGCGCTCACTCACCTGGAGCAGAAAAACTCTCAAGTCCGTATGCTCTTTGTGAACTTCACATCCGCCTTCAACACCATGATCCCCCAAACCCTGATGGACAAACTTTTCACACTAGAACTAAGCCCCTCCATTTGCAACTGGGTACTAGACTTTTTAAACAGACCACAGTTAGTAAGGATCCACCACTTCCCCTCCTCCACCATAACCCTCAGCACTGGCTCTCCTCAGGGATGCGTGTTGTGCTCCAGCATCAACATGTGGCATGGAGGCTTCACAGCTGCAGAAAAAAAAGCTTTGCAGAGAGTGGTGAAGGCTGCACAGAAGACTGTTTGAGTCAGTCTCCACACCATCACAGACATCTACACCTCTAGATGTAGGAAGTGGGCCACCTGCATCATGAAGGACCCCACTCACCCAGCACACACACTTTTTGCCCCACTCCCCTCAGGAAGGAGGTTGAGGAGCATTAAGTATAGAACCACTAGACTGAGGAACAGCTTCTACCCTGAGGCTGTTACTCATGAATCTCTAACCAGGATAATCACTGTGGAAAAAAATCACATCATGTTGCTGCTGATCTGTTTCAATGTTGCTGCTGATCTGTTTCATGTTGATGTGTTCATGCGTGCTAATCTGCTCACACAGACTCATGCTCATGTTTGTGCTGATGTTCGACGTAATGTTTTTATGCCATTAGTGCTTAGTGTATTTTTAGTTGATGTTTTTCTTCGTTCATATCTTAGATGTTATTACTGTTTTTCTTTTACATTTTTATTGTTGGATGTAACTGGGACCCTGTGTACATAATTTCGCTCAACCACATGTACCACATGAGGTGCGAATGACAATCTCTGATTCTTAAGTCTTCTATATTTAATAAAGTAAATTTGCAAAAATCTCAAAAATCTTTTTTCACATTGCCATCGTGAGGTATTGTGTGTAAAAATTTGAGGAAAAAATTAATTTAATACAATTTAGAATAAGATTAGCATAACAAAATGTGGAAAAAGTGGAGAAGAATCATCTCTGGATGCACTGTATGAATATTAGTTTCTGTGAATGTTAATATTTTATGGATACAAAAATTAAAAAGGCAAGAATTTTAACCTAGAAATATCATCAAAAGCAGCGTGGAACGTACTCGTGCACTTTGTCCAGCGATCAGCTGGTCGTCCTCAGTTTGCACGCTGGTCTTGCTCTGTTTATCAAAGTCTTCAGTCTCAAAGTCGGAGTCATCCAGTTCTTCTGGAGTCTATAAATGACACAAAACAATGAGGTAAGAAAAATGCATTTTATACTTCGTGAGGAGGAGGAGGATGACTTGCTGTGGCGACCCCTAAAACGGGAACAGGTGAAAAAAGATACTTAGGTGGGGAACATAAAATAATATTGGCATATGACACCAATGTGAGCATCATTAAATAATAAACATGCTTACAGTCTAAGAAACGCATCGGTGCCACCAGCCTGGGCAGCAAAAGATAAAAATCTCCCTTCTCATAGCTTTGTACAGATCCTGTAAACTCCAAATTAATTTGTAAATCAAGTGTAATGTACTGCCTGCGCATTTTGAGTGGGAAAATGAAGGTATGTGCTGGTATGAAGCATATTGGGAGCAAAACACTTCAAAAGCCCATCTGTCGCTGCCATCTGAGGAAAAAGATGAGCGAGGCATAAATTGTGTTCTGGAATTTTGCTACTTGGTTTCTGGTCCTTTACCTCCCTGACCATGAAAACAGAACAAGCCGCGAGCAACGTTTTGTCTATAGGTTACATGCAAATGAAATGTGATCTCAGTAGGTCATGCTTAAGGCAAAAAGCAGCAACAGAAGGTTGGGAAAATGTTTTTAGTGGAAATATAGATGCAGGGAAAATGATGTGGACGGATAAAGGTGCATTATCACGCTTGTGCCTCCATTTGTGCTTATCCAACTGACTCCCTACTGTAATGGATTTGGAGACCTCGTATCTAAAAATAGCGGAGGGTATCTGAACAACCTTATAGTCCTTTATGAAATGCTAGTGAAGCTCTTGTCCTCGAGAGAATATAGGAATAGTTTCAAACACAGAGCTGAGGCATGTCTTTCAACCCAGACAATGCTGTTCAGTGGGGCACAGATATCACCTGCTGTGGCCTGTAAAACAGATAACCTGTGAATGTGGGAGGTTTAGAAATGATATCACGGTGGTTATTCAATGGGAAACTACTAGAGAGCAACAATAATAACCTGCTGTTAGATAATACTAATAAAGCACGCTGAAAATGATGCTTTTACAGTTACGTTTTCCATGACTTTTATGCTATGGCAAAATACACTAATCACATTTAATACCGGCCCGTGTCACCACCGTGCATCTGAAAGGAGAAATATTCCATTTTATTCACGTAAATTACCTGTGAGGCGCATAAGACCAGATGCTATGTGAAGTGCAATCATTAAGAGAAGAATGAGAGCGAGCTGAAATTGCAGTATTATTACAGAGGCAGGAAACGAGCCGGCGCTGCATCTTTGTGTGCTGTTGTAAATATGGATAGAGCCCGTTCAACGGTATTACTCCATTGTTATTCTTTTTATGACATCCTACTCATTGCCTTAGTGAGCTGAACTGATTCTCCCCCTCCCTCCCTTTTTGTTTTATTTTATTTTAGGACAGAGGCAGTAACAATCACCTTGGGCTGCGATGCACTACACAAATCGTAAAGTAACGACAGCTGCCCTCTGTATCCAGCTGTCAGTGGTCGACTTGGAGTCAGTTTCATGTCTAAGAGGCATATTCTCTGATGACGCTGTAGGTGGACAGAGGGCTTTGTCTGCCTTTCAGTATCATGGGGACAGCCAGCGCAGACTGACTGCGAGCCACTTAAAGGTTAAAGACATGTCCATCTTAAAAAGCACCACACACACACTTGTCCGATTTGATTTAGGACTGGGCCATGCTTTGAGCAAGCGTGAGAACAAGCCCTCTACGCAAGTTGTCTTGCAGCTATTTAGACTCATTTCAAGCACTTCATGCTTCTGACAAACTTGGCACTTGAATTTTAGTGAAGTGAGTCAAGGGCTTCGCTTGGTAGAAATCAATGCACCTTCACCCTCGTTACAAACTGCAATTAAAGACGCTGCAGAGAACATGCAGTAGGACATACTAGGATAAAAAGCAGTAATTTCCTGCTTAATAACTTCTGGTAAAGCTTTGATCACCCTTCAGACTTGATTGTGAAATCCTGTTCGACTCATGGGAACTTTTTTTCAGATAATGGAGGAAGTTTGTGTTTTCCTCTCCCAAGCTGGCAGTTAATGGCAGAATCAATCTGATAGAGAAATTTTAACTGAGCAAAGTATTCCCACTAATCCTCTGTTAGTTTCGACACACCAGCACATTTACACATACTCCCTCCTCCTCCCTGTAGTGTTTAGCCAAGCCCATAAGCCAGTGTTAATAGCTTAATCTGGATAACAAGAGTGGAGCTGGGGCAGATAGAAATTGAATGCAGTTCTCCGGCACCGCAGGACAGCTAAGGAATGCTAATTAAAATGTCCATCTAAAATCAGATGCTCATTATAATGCAAATGAAAAAACATAATAGGTCGACTTTTATTTGGTTTTTGTCCATGTCTGAGTAAGATAATTAATGGAAACCAATAAACAGTTTTAGAGCTCAACACAGAACATGCGATCTAGACTAATGATACCAATTCCGAAGATTAAAGCCTCGATAGCAACAAAGAACTGCATAATACGAGCAGCACAATGCAACTTCAAGTATTTAATACATAATTAGGTTACATATTATGCACTCACTTTGTATAACATGGCAGTTTCAAGTAGTTAAACTAGTTAGACTATAAAGCCTTCACCATAAAGACGATCCATTTCTCTTTAGAGCTGCAGTGGGTTTTGTCAGCTCATTGTCAGCCTGTAAAGAAATGCTTCAATGGCTCCCTGCTACCATCTGTCTCAGTTATGGTTCTACTCAAGCAAAAGCCATCAAACCATAGACATCTAAGGCTGTTGTTAAACTAGATTGCATGCTTGGTCAATTAGGTCGGCTCTTCCCTGAGAAAAGTTAATCACTGGCTTCTAATAACGTGGGGATGGTTTCTGGTACCCTTCTAAAAATAGTACCTCGTGCAGAGATTCTGCCAAGATTAGGGGATCGATGGTTTTATAGTAAAGTAACATTTACAACTCTTCACAAAAAACATGCTGGATTAAAAATCATGATTAAACTGTTTATTTTAATGGAAAGGATCGTTGTTTTGCTCAACCGCTAAACCTAAAGAAATAAATGCATTTGGGTACTACAGGCAACCTTTTTCACTGAATTGTTGCGGTGGGAAAAGAAAAAAAAATGTAATTTTGTAAAGAAAATACCAGCTCAAGTCTATAATAAGCAAATGGGGCTGCAGTTGAAAGAGAGCGCTTGTGGATTTTAACAAGCTGTGGCACCTGGTTGATTGACAGGAAACAAGGCCCCGACAAGAACGCTGTCAGTTTGAAACAACGTAGAGGAACAGAGAAACTCCTTCAAGATGGCAAGTCAACATGGAGGTGTGGCAAAAGATGTTGGCTGTTCTCATTCTGCTGCGTCAAAAAACTGAAAGAAAGTACAAACCTAAAGGGGGAGGTTGTAAAACTGGAACAAGAAGTAGACCAGGGAAGGCGTCAAAACACAAAAGGAAAAAGTAGCACGTCTTGAAAACAGAAACGAAAACTCAACGTTCAATCCATGAATGAAAACCAATGAAGGACAGAAGGCTTATAATCCTCACCTAAACATGTAAATAAACAAGTAGCCCCTGTAGAAACTTTTATACTCAATGTGCAAGGCTTCCATTTCTGATTAAAAACTAAGCATGGACGCTAAAAATAATCTATAATGATGTTCCATCCATTAAAGCTGATGTGCCAACTGCTAGAAGAGGAAGACTAAAACCGGTGTTTGTCTTTCATACATGAACGAAAAAGGTGTAAAAAGCTCATGATTCATTTCTAATTCACGCTTTCATTTTTCTATTTAACAAATGTATTATTTTTCTCTTATGTGGATTTTATATTATTTACATTGTTTTTAATATTTTATATGCTAATCCTTATATTTGTGTTTTTGTAGTTGTTTGGTTGGTTTGCAAAAGCAGAATGTCAGCCAGTAAAAGTTTTTGGAGTTCCACATATTTTGATTCAAATCTAAAGTTGTCGACACACACAAGCCAAACCTCTGACTGGCAGCGGAGAAAAGGAACCTGTGCAAACTTACTCTGATCATAAGGACAGCCTTGCGTATGTCACGGATGCCATCATACACGAGGCGAGATGCATCGATGAACTCGTTCTCATCCACGGGCTGAGAGGAGTTTGCACCCAAGGCCTCCACTGCAGACTCGATTTGTTCTGTGAACCGTGGCATCACTGAGGAACGGAACAAACAAGAAGTAGTACGAGGAAAAGATGTCAAGGAAATTTCACCAAAATACAAACAAACACTGCAGAATAAACTCTGCATCACATCCAACTTTTAAAGAGAGAACAAGCTTTGTAAACCCACAGAAACAAGTTTGTGAAGCACTGAGGTGAAGAATCAGAGCATTTCTCCTTAGCTTAGATTTTTATAACTTCTTCTGTGGTATTTTTGTAGTTGTAGTAGGCTACTCTAATTAAACCAACAATAATCAATCTAAAGGCATTATATTAGAGATTATTTTAATAACAGACCTCAAAGGAATAAGGACTAAATGTATTCTGAATAAAAAGGTTCATTAATTAGATCACATGGTTGAAGTTTGCACTTTTGCCTTATTGCTCTAAATGGTTTTTACATATAAACTTATTACTTCAGGGAAAAAAGCTGATGGAGCAGAAAGACTTTCTAACAGAAGGATCCATAAAGCTGTCCCAGTGGGCAAGCATTTTGCCCCAATGACAATTTGATAACTGCTCTGGAGGCCTTTCCTTCTCATTTGCATCATTTCAAATTCCGTTCTTAGGATTTAGCAGCTTCTTCGTGGGAGAGGCCTGGATGTCAGGATGCAAATTTAGAGGGCAGAAGCACAGCCGCATCAACAAAGAGGATTTTGTTTTGAGCTTATAAAATAAAATAAAAAAATAAAGAAAGAATCACATGCAGCCTGGAGGCTTCAGGACAGAAGTGTTTTAAAAAATACAAGAACCTGGCTGCAGAGATTTTACAGTAACTCCGTTTCCAAAAAAAGAAGGATAAAATCAGTTCTGATCAAAGAAAAACTCTAAAAGGAGTAAAATCATAAAGCCAGCTAAATAAATTACCAAACTAATATGAATGCTTTGCTTTTAATCTGTCAGCTACAAAAAGATTCATCTCCAAGTGTAAAATATAATTCTTCATTTTGTCAACTAACTAAAACCATCCATTCATTAATTTGCCATGGAGTGAAAAACTGTACAAGTTAAAAAGAAAACATTCAGATTCAGGGACATTAAAACATTCCTAACTGCTTCATTCAGCTTCTGCTAAAATCCTCAGATGATCAGCCTGCATTTCCTGACTGGTAATGGGCCCACACCCTCAAGAGGGCCAAGCATTTCCAAATCTGACAAGCGAAAAATCGTTGTGTCATGTTAGCTCGCTGGTGATGGAAGCTAACACAGCTCACACATGCTGGCTGGCTAATGATACACCACTTTATTTTGACAAAATGACTTGTATGATTCAGCTCGTGTTAAGATATTCAAATTTATGTGACAACTCAACAAACATTGCTGTGCAGATGCTGAGTCACAGTTTGGGTCACACAATATGAAATATTAAAAAGTGGAACCACTCAAGAAATACGAAGCTTTGCACCAAACAATTTTGTAAATTAATTCTGGATGTGAGAAAGTTTTGCAGCTTAAAATGGCTCTTAAAATACAAAAAGATACGTTTATAGTAGAGTGCTAGGATTAAATGAAGCAGATTTTAGTGCGGGGTCACGGTGGGGCATTTGGTAGAGATGATGCCTCAGCGAGGTCAACAGGTCAAATCTTGGCCCGGGGCTTTTCTGGGTGGAGTTTGCACGTTCTCTCTATGCATGTGTGGGTTTCCTCTGGGTGCTCCGGTTTCCTCCCACAAACCAAAAACATGCATGTTAGGCTGATTGGTAATGCTAAATTGTCTTTAAGTGCGAGTGAGAGAGTGAATAAAAGCTGACTTCTAGTGATGCGCTGTTCCATTATTTTCCTCCTTTGTTTTTAAACTCCAGTACATCTCGAGAAGGAACCAAACATGTTGATCTTTTTTCATTCCTCTGCTTGCTTCTGCTGGGGTCGCCATAGCAGAGGACGTAGCATGAATGATTCGGCGACTGTTTTACACCGGATGCCCTTCCTGCAGCAACTTGGACTTGAAACCACAGCAACACTGACCACTGAGTTACTTCAGCCCCCGGGGCACAACATGGTGTTGTACAAAGAGTGATCACCACTAGGGGTGGGCGACATGGCTCAAAAATAATATTGTAATATTTCAGAGCATTCTGACGATAACGATAAATTTCATGATAACAAAAAAAAAAAAAAAACAGAAATCAGTTATTTGACAAAATTAACTTTAAAAGGTTGCTTTGCAGTAGCCTATTACAGGTCCTTCTCAAAAAATTAGCATATCATGAAAAGGTTCTCTAAACAAGCTATTAACCTAACCATCTGAATCAACGACGTAACTCTAAACACCTGAAAAAGATTCCTGAGGCTTTTAAAAACTCCCAGCCTTGTTCATTACTCAAAACCACAATCATGGGTAAGACTGGCGACCTGACTGCTGTCCAGAAGGCCATCATTGACACCCTCAAGCAAAAGGGTAAGACACAGAAAGAAATTGCTGAACGAATAGGCTGTTCCCAGAGTGCTGTATCAAGGCACCTCAGTGGGAAGTCTGTGGAAAGGGAAAAGTGTGGCAGAAAACGCTGCACAACGAGAAGAGGTGACCGGACCCTGAGGAGGATTGTGGAGAAGGGCCGATTCCAGACCTTGGGGGACCTGCAGAAGCAGTGGACTGAGTCTGGAGTAGAAACATCCGGAGCCACCGTGCACAGGCGTGTGCAGGAAATGGGCTACAGGTGCCGCATTCCCCAGGTCAAGCCACTTTTGAACCAGAAACAGCATCAGAAGCGCCTGACCTGGGCTACAGAGAAGCAGCACTGGACTGTTGCTCAGTGGTCCAAAGTACTTTTTTCGGATGAAAGCAAATTTTGCAAGTCATTCGAAAATCAAGGTGCCAGAGTCTGGAGGAAGACTGGGGAGAAGGAAATGCCAAAATGCCAGAAGTCCAGTGTGAAGCACCCACAGTCAGTGATGGTCTGGGGTGCCATGTCAGCTGCTGGTGTTGGTCCACTGTGTTTTATCAAGGGCAGGGTCAATGCAGCTAGATATCAGGAGATTTTGGAGCACTTCATGCTTTCGTCTGCTGAAAAGCTTTATGGAGATGAAGATTTCATTTTTCAGCATGACCTGGCACCTGCTCACAGTGCCAAAACCACTGGTAAATGGTTTACTGACCATGGTATTACTGTGCTCAATTGGCCTGCCAACTCTCCTGACCTGAACCCCATAGAGAACCTGTGGGATATTGTGAAGAGAAGGTTGAGAGACACAAGACCCAACACTCTGGATGAGCTTAAGGCCGCTATCGAAGCATCCTGGGCCTCCATAACACCTCAGCAGTGCCACAGGCTGATTGCCTCCATGCCACGCCGCATTGAAGCAGTCATTCATGCAAAAGGATTCCCGACCAAGTATTGAGTGCATAACTGAACATGATTATTTGAAGGTTGGTGTTTTTTGTATTAAAAACACTTGTCTTTCATTGGTGGGATGAAATATGCTAATTTTTTGGGACAGGCATTTTGGGTATTCATGAGCTGTATGCCATAATCATCAGTATTAAAACAATTAAAGACCTGAAATATTTCAGTTGGTGTGCAATGAATCTGAAATATATGAAAGTTTCATTTTTATCATTACATTATGGAAAATAATGACCTTTATCACAATTTGCTAATTTTTTGAGAAGGACCTGTATATAAAATTTAAAAAAAGGTTAATTTTACTGAAATTACTTTATTTAGTATTCGGTCTAAAAGCATAAAAATAAAAAATAAAAATGATCCTTCTGTTATTTAGATTGAAAAAGTCTGCACAAAATATAGATCAACAAAATCTACCACAAAAACTGAAGTGCAGGTGAAGTTTCCCAAAATAACTAAATAAAATGAAGCTTAAGATCTCTTGAGTATAAATGTAACGTACAACAAAATATATCGTCTTTAAATGAGCTATAGCTTCCAAACCTTGTAACAAGGTGATCAGCTGACCCTGAAGCTGGTGGTGTTTCAGCTTCCTCTGTTCCTGCAGGAATGATCCATTTCTCTGATGCTCTGTCTCTGATCACCTGACTCTGTTTTTGGTCCATGGACTGTGGAACTAAAGACAGACCTGCGCATGTCTGTACCGGCAGTTTAGAGCTGGATTGAGAGACAGCTGAGCCGCACGTTGTTTTTTTTTTTTTAGCTTTTTAGTTAGCTAGTATTGCACGCAACTAATTAGCGTTAAGCCAGCACCGACAGGTGGAGGGGGGAGTGCGCAGTGCGATTTGGTTATTTGGCGCGCTCGGTTTTGTTAATGGGGCGGGGTGCCCTGACGTATTGCATCATAAAATTAACATATCATGATATTTATTTGCACGGGCAAGCTTTTTTAACCAGTATTATCGTGAACGATATGATATGGCCCAGCCCTAATCACCACTCTTGGTTTGTGCGGCCTGCTGCTTTAAATTATGACCTAACCAATTCACTTGGTGTTCACACAATGGTGTTAAAGAGAATTTAAACTATGTGTCAAACATATTACAATAAATTATGATGCGGTTGATTGAAAGCATTCAACGTTAATAACCTTAGGTTAGTTATTTCAATAAATGTTTGTGATACCTGTGTCAGTGAGGAGTTTTGTGGCCTCCAGAACCTTCTCCGTGTAGACACCGGGCTCATAGTTGTCCATTTCAGACGTGACTACGTGGACAACTCTGGCAGCGCGGCCTCGAATGGCTCCAGCAGTGCGATCCAAACCATCGACATCTTTCTCTTGCAGAGCGATGACGCACTTGTTCACATCTTCCAAGATGTGGTTCTCTGTAAACAAAGCAATATGCATTCATAACTATATATAACCATCTATATATCTCTATATAACTATATAGCTCTATCTCTATATAACTATCTATATAGCTCTATCTCTCCATATATCTCTCCTTATACATTTTATTGTTGGATGTAACTGGGACCCCGTGTACATAATTTCGCTCCACCACATGTACCACATGAGGTGCGAATGACAATAAAGAAACTCTGACTCTGATATCTCTCTCTCCATCCATCCATATATCTATATCTATATCTATATATATTTAATTGAATGAATTTTTTTTTAATTCATAAAAATGGCTTTTTCACCTCTCACATAAACTTCCATCAAAGATGTAGACAGGAACCAAGAAAATATAAAGCTATTAGGAGTCTTTTCTGCGTTTGATTGGTTTTGAATTTGCAAGGCCACAGGGTGGATTACTCAAGAGGGCTGCAGACAAATTCTTTGACTTCTTATTAATGGGACTCTGTAAAATGCTAATGACCTCTGTGTAAATTACAGTCTGTCCTTGGGTGGAGGTGAGCAAAGTCTCAACGTAATGCTTAATGAGAATTCTTACTGGACGTGTCTGGCAAAGCATGTGTGCATCGGCACATCACAACACGTTAGCTTCAGATCTACTAATGATTTTATTTTCTACTGTAAATTCCAAACAGCGTGGACAAATAGGTTGTACTAAAAGATAATATCTCACACTTTAGAATTATGTGCTTTAAAAAGTTGATTAAAACACAATCTTAGAAGATGGAATAATTTTAGATTTCAATTATTCTAAATGTATGACAAGTAATCAGCACTACTTACCAGACACTGAAAGGAAGTCATCGATCGAAGTGATGTCATCAACAGCATCGGTGAGGACACGAACCTGCTTCTCCCACTGGTCTTTAAATGCATCCATGTTGTCCTGGGCCACCTTACTGTTGGGTTTGGCAGCGAGGGCCAGTGCTGCATTAATCACCTGTAATCGCCACATTACGATCATTAAAGCGCAATTACACAGTCGCCCCTGGCAACAGCATTAGCACACACTGATTGGACAAACTTTGTCTCGATCTAAAAAACATCAAGGAGCAGATTCATCCCTTACAGTGAGGAGGACAGAAGGACAGAGTGTAGTGTGGAGAAAACATTTATCTCTGGGGAGTGGTGGTGCAGAGGTTAGAGAAGGTAGGCCTGTGACCAGAAGGTCGCCGGTTCAACTCCTCAAATCGACATCAAAATGTGTGTTGGAAAAGTGAAAGTTTGAGGTTGTATGTTCCCATTCAATGGCCAAATTAGTTGTCTGCATTTAAACCATCACACCTGAGGTACGCCCAGGTGGAGCAGTGAGCAGCTTTGTAAGCAACCGGGGAGCAGTTAGGGATTGGGTGTCTCGCTCAGAGACAACGCGACATGTGGAAATGGCTGGGAGTCGAACCGCAAATTTCTGGTCCCAAGTCGGCTGCCTTACTTCTACCACATCTTGGCCCCCATCCATCTCAGCCCCCTCACCCACAACTGCCTCCACCCTCATTTGCCCCACTCTGGGCCCTTGAGCAAGGCCCTTAAGCTCCACCATCTGCTCCCCTGGCACCCTAGACCAACAAGTCTCTCGTGTAAATGAGTCCTCATGACTCAATGAGGCTACCTGTATAAATAAAAGGTTAAAAAAAAAACAACAATAGCAGAGCTTACAAGACATGTAAAAAAAATTAAAAATAAGGCGGTCTTTTATCCTCCAAGAAAACCAAAATAAACACCATTTAGTTTTTGATTAAAAACAGTTTGAGTTTGGAAGGTTTTTTTTACCCTCTCAAAATGATTAAAAATAGGAAAGTGGGGAAAAAAGGCCATCCTTGACATAAAAACTTCAACTAAAATTATGTATAAATAAAAAAATTAAAACTTTACGTACAACTATAACAAATAAAAATCTAATGTGGATAAAATCAGTGAATCTAAATTGTGCCTAAACTGACACTGAGCTTACATTCACAGATGTTTTGAAGATATGGCAGTTACTAGAAGACTAATGCTAAAATAAATTGTTCAAAACCAAAATAAAATGTGTGACTAAGGAAACTGAAGTCTCAGAGTTTGAAATAAAACTTAAAATGAAAACGTTCCATACTAATAATACAAAATCATGGTGCAAACCAGAGATGTACTAAAGTATTGGACATGGTGAACAGTAAGTAGAAACCACGTTGGTACCTGGGGGCACAGAGTTTCCAGTTGCGATGCTGCCATGCGGACCAGTTTTACTCCCTCTTCATTGTTGGAAATAGAGCATGCCAGGTTGGCCACCTAAATGGAAGACACAATCCATTTATACAGCAAGTGACACAAAGGCCTATTATGAAGGAACAAAAGGCTACATACAGTTGTATAATTAAACTAAAGTGTAGTGATATTGATTAAAAATAGAGCTGCTCTGCCAAATCGTTAATCCCTGTGGAAAACGAGCTCAATGTTGCAGATTAATTCATAAAGCTGCAAAAAATGATACAGTACGATTCTCACAGAGGGGCAGCCAGAATAGTCAGAGGAAAACAAAAGCTGTGCTGCTGATTGAACATCAGGTCTCAAATTATTTCCTGAAACAAAGGTACCTTTCACCAAATGCAAATGGAAGTTGTAGCTGATTACTCAGAGATATGGTTATTCACAGTGACTAAGTAACCAAGCTGCCAGATTGCCATCACCCTCCCAGAGAGGCACGCATTCGTCAATTTCACAAACTGAGCAGCAGAATGAGAAGCAGGACGTGAGCTAAGCAAATCTTTGCCTGCACCTGCTAACATTTATGATTTTAGAGCTTAGTTTTGTGCACTGACCATTCAGATCAAGCTCCTCTACAATCGGTTCTAAATTTTCTTGCGTCATCTGGAGGAATGTTTTTGCATTTGCGTAAATTCACATGAATTTAGGTCAGCGAGTTTCAAGATTCCCATTTGTTGTTTGTGATGTGCTGGCAACAATGCTGAAACAGAATGCCTGGGATGGGAGGAACTGGGCCAAAATGGGATAATCCAATGGACAGAAAATATGCTGCAACGTAATCACTTTCAAACGCTAAAAATCATTACTACACTACAGAAGAACTATTTTCAGTTGTCAGTGCTGCGTCATCCATTTACTCACTTTTATCTGGACCACGGAGAAACATTAAAAGCAGAACACAAACTTTTAAAACTGGACAAGTCAGAGAGATATAAACTACAAATATATTCAATTATTCATAACTGACAACATTAAGGCCCCATTTACACAAAAACCATTTCTGGTGAAAATGTAAGTTTCGTTGCGTTTGTACTGTTCATTTACATGAAAATACCGAATGTTTTCTCTGACAACGGCACAATTTGAGAACGGGTTCCAGAGTGCAAAGGTTCAAAAATGTTCTGGTGTCCGTTGTTGTGTCAAAAGAAAAATAGATCTTTTCTGTCAGGGAATCCCTGGCTCATGCGCAGTATGACGCAAAACATAACGGCTTCTTACAATCAACAGAAGAAGAAACTATCGACAATGGCGGATACCAGAGTATTGTTTGTGCTTCTGACTCTTATAAATCTATAAATCTAATTTCCCCGGACTGCTTTCAGTTTGTTTGGACATCACCTAGGGCTTTGTTATGGTTTTCTCATGAGAGAAATGTTAGAATGTTTAGAAAGGGTTTTTGTTGTTGTTGTTTTTTGTTAGTTTTTATACAAGTTTCAAAGAACATAGCACCAACTAGTGGCGTGGTGAAGGAATTACACATTTTCCTCATCTACCATTGCTGTGTAGATTGTAATTAGAACATTTTCATGTAAATGTGTTAATAGAAATTGGAAAAAAATTCAGTTTCCATTGGGTCGCTGTGTAAACAGGTCCTAAGTTTAACGGATAATTATTTTTTATTACAATTACTTTCAGTCTTGGTCAAAGTAAGGACAAAATCCATCCACTCATTATCTTTACCCGCTTATTCCATTTAGGGTCAAGGGGGTCGCCGGTGCCCATGCCCAGCAATCACTGTGCGAGGGGCGGGGTACACCCTGGACGGGTCGCAAGTCCATCATAGGGCCACATAGAGACAAACGAGACAAACAACCATTCACTCTCTCACTCACACCTATGGACAATTTAGAGTTACCAATCAGACTAACATGCATGTTTTTGGTCTGTGGGAGGAAACCGGAGCACCCGGAGAAAATTCACGCATGGATGGAGAGAACATGTAAACTCCACCCAGAAAGGCCCCTGGACCGGGATTTGAACCAGGGACCTGCTCACTGAGAGGCAGCAGCTCTACCAGTTGCGCCACCTAGAACAAAATCCATTTAATTTAAACTTGTGTGATAACTTAATCGCCTGTGGACAACTACATTTCTACTAGGGGAACATCTAACGTACTATATAAAAAACATTAAACTGGATTGTAGGGCAAACCTAAAAATAAAGACTTGTAGGAAAAATAATTTTTTATTCAAGCGCTGGCAGCAGAATGCCTCAGTGGCTGCAAAAGTGGTAAACTGGATCAGATTATGAAAGATCCTCTGCTCCCTCAGGCTCCTCAATTCTACAACCGCAAAATTCCTGAGCAAATTTTGATGAGAAGTGTTTATTCAACTGCACCAGTGAAGCACTAAAACATTGATATAAACATACACTGCATCACTATTCAAACACACGCAGAGACCACAGGGTAAACACTTGAATCCACAAGGAGTGGAGAGTGTGGTTATAAAATAAAAAAATAAAAGAAAAAGTGGCACTTTATGGAGGGACTGGTTTGCATACTTTGATGATCTTTCACCTAAGCTTTTTACCAACTCTTAACAGAAAGCTACTGGGAAATGTGTCATTTCAGTTTAAGATGCAGAAGAAGCAGCCTAACATGTAAACATCTAACTCAGATTAAACATCGTTTTACTTGCTTAGACAACTCATTTCAAGTTTCAGAGGAGTGAGTATCATGCTCATCTAGTAGCAACAGTGCCTCGTTTGGGGTCCAAGGCAGCGGAGGCAAGGGAACGCAGCTGCAGAGAAGCAGCGTTCCCTTGCCTCGAGCGAAGCATGGAACCCACTGAAAATGTTCTGTTTTCTATTATTTTTCTGCTATAAAGAAAAGTCTTGATACAGCTCAAACCACAAGTAGTACTAAGATAATACTTGTATGTAAATGTATTGTAAATATATCGTAAATGAGTCATTGTGGCTCATTGAGACTAACCTGTATAAATAAAGGTTGAATGAATGAATAGGGTAGTAACTATGGCCTGTGAGTACAGCTGAGAAAAATACGCAGACATGTTCACCTTTAGGGGGCGCCATAAATGAAAACTTTGAATTTGGTTGTCAAATTATGGCTTTTATTTCTACAATCTCTGCACGCTACTGAGTCACATGGTGTATAGGCCACGCCTTCTTTGCCCTATGTTTTTTTCCCTATATCGCAAAATTTGAAATACCCACTTTTGACTGGTTGTCTAAGGTCGTTTTCAGACCAGATAGTCCGGTAAACTCGGTTCGGTTCGGGACCAATATTCATGAGCTTTTGTTTACATTTGAGCTGGTGAGTTTGCATTCACACTGCACTGTGCAGTCGAGTCAACCTGTTGAACCAACCTATTCCCCCGCTCGCCTGAGGGGGCGCTGCACCAAGAACTACTGAAAGAAACGACAAAAACCTCTGATGACACGTCTTCTTTTGTAAATAAAAACAAAAACGAAGTGGCATCAAGTTTTAGCAGTTTTAGGAGTTATATTTCGTCATTTTTCAAAAATGGACTTAGCATGAGCAGAAGATGAGACAGAAGACCACGGAGAATATTGTTCTCCCACACAAGGCAGCTGACGGCTCCATATAAGGTCAGAGAAATGCCTGTTTGTTTACCCTGCTGAGCGGGGCCGGTCTGTTTACATTCACACTGCACTCGAACCGCGCTGGAGTTCGCTTCTACCGGACCGAGACCTAGGTTTTAGCCCGGGCCAGAGTTCGCCTTTTTGTTCCGTGACAGAGTTCGATGGCACGTTCACACCTCCCTAAACGAACCAGACTTTCTAGGAAAACGAGCTAGAGTTTGATTAAAGAGGACTAAACAGGGCTGGTGTGAATGCACCCTAAGGTATTAAGTTGGATCTCTCTCTATTAAACTCTCCATCTAAAAATCTAGATACCATATGGATAATGTTGATGTGTTCATGTGTGCTCATCTGCTCACAGACTCATGTTCATGTTTGTGCTGATGTTCAATGTTTTATGTTATGAGTGCTTAGTGTATATTTAGTTGATGTTTTTCTTAGTTCATATCTTAGATGTTATTACGGTTTTTCTTATACATTTTATTGTTGGATGCAACTGGGACCCTGTGTACATAATTTCGCTCCACCACATGTACCACATGAGGTGCGAATGACAATAAAGAATCTCTGACTCTGATAAGATTCTAAGGGGGGGAAAAAACAGTAAGATATGACTAGGCAAATGATTTGGTAAGCTAGCTATAAACAAATTTGGTCATCTCTTCTAAACTATATATATATATATATATATATAT